AACATCATATCCTTCCTATCTATCCCAGCCTTACGTTCGTTACTTCCCATTCTCGACCTTAACAGGTGCCTACCTAACGTTGAAAGTATGGAGGAACGTCGGTATACCCCCCAACATGCACCTAAAGTCTCATATCCACCATGCAAGCTCTCCTTATTCCTATAGTTTCCCCTTCTTTCTACCTAGACGATGGCATTGGTAGCATTCTTTCTTTCTTTTATTCAACATGCATATCGCGTCACCCGATCGGTATGTACCCTTTCGTGTACCACTTAGCGACCGTTTCCGAGCCACCAAGCAAGCCCATGAGTTATCACCGTCAGAACGACTACACCGCACAGACGACGCCGCGTCCGACGTCTTCTGCTTCACCCCAAAACGTTCTGCGGCCGTTTCCTCCCGGTGGGCATCTCGATCTGATAGCAACCAACGACGTGCTGGCACCGTTCTAGGACTGCATAGCCTGGAAGAACGGCAGGTCAGCAACGGTGCCGTCTGGACTGTGGGCGGCCTGGCCCCCGGAGGAGTTGACGACGGGCACGGCCGCCGTGTAAGCTCGGGCACGAATGCTCGTCTCTACACTACCTCGTTTACAAACACGCGTCCCAAATCAGAAGAGGACCAGGATAAGCACGAGGGTCGACTCGCTCTAGCGTTAAAAATCGATCGCGTCCAACGGATACTGGACTTTGACGGATATTCCACCTTTCCTCGTTGCAAGCACAAAGTACGATCATCGCTGCAAGAAGCTAAGACAATATGGACCGGAAGTCAGTGGAGTAACGATTGCCATGTTCCAAGTACGCTGCTGTTCTTACTTACCAACGCCATAATGAGACTGATTCAGGTGCAGGAATTCAAAAGGAAGAGCGATGTCTTCCTAACGCCCCATTCAAGTTCGTAAACGATCCCGGCAACAAGCCGACTAATTCTCATATTAACAGCCTCCAGAGTTCTAGACGCTCCAGGCCTCCGAGACGATTTCTATTGTTCCATAATGGCTTATTCTCGAACGTGCAACACTTTAGCTGTGGGATTGGGTAATCTCCTTTATGGATGGTCCGAATCCTCGGGTGTTACGCTTCTAAATACAGGGCTCAAGGATGGGTCATGGCTAACTTCGGTGGCATTCTCGTCCGATCAGGGTGGCAAATCGATCCTTGCCTTCGGTCGGTCAAGCGGGCTGCTCTCATTGGTTTCGCTTTTCGACAGTCTACTCCCCCGCTTCGAAGCATATCACCCTGAACCGATCGCTTGCCTCTCCTGGCGTCCCACCACTTCCGCTCGATCATCCCGCAACCGGCGTAACCCGGGAGTCCTGGTCAAGACAGAAGACCTCCTCGTAGGGGATGATATGGGCGATGTTTACTACTATTCGGTTGAGTGGCCCGAGCCCTAGGAAGTGGCTCGGGAAAATTGGCGCGGCGCCATGACTCTGCTCGCCCGCATCAAGGTCCATTCTCAACAAATATGCGGTCTCGCGTGGTCTCCTGATGGTGAGCAGTTTGCTACTGGTGGGAACGACAACTTGTGTTGTCTCTTCAATGTCGACAGTGTTACGGGCGAGGAGCCCCGCCCAAAGTTAGGCATGGACAAGCCAGCAACAGCCAACCCTTGTAGCAGCAAGAAAGAGCTCGTTATACCAAACACCGAAGTCGAAGGAGCTTCTATCTCGCCTTCATCTTCGGGGTTGCCGTTTGACTGCCACAACCCGCTGTCCAACCTCAAATGTTTACCAGCTGGCTCCGAGAAACATCGGTGGCGTCACGGGGCTGCTGTCAAGGCCATCGCATTCTGCCCATGGCGGCAGGGGCTGGTTGCCACCGGGGGAGGATCTAACGACAAATGCATTCACTTCTATCATACCAATTCGGGGGCGGCGCTCGCTACTATCTCAGTTGCGGCGCAGGTGACGTCTCTCATATGGAGCACGACACGGCGGGAGATCGCTGCGACATTTGGGTACGCACAGCCCGACCACCCATACCGCATCGCGGTGTTCAGCTGGCCCGATTGCCGGCAGGTGGCTGCCGTGCCGTAGGAGGGCGAACATCGCGCTCTGTATGCCATCGCGTACCCGGGCGGCCCAAGTGATACGTACCGCACAAAGGAGAGGCTAAAGAGCCGCACTGCCGAGGAGGGTTGCATCATCGTGGCGAGTAGCGACGAGAGCGTCAAGTTTCACGAAGTCTGGGTAGCAGGCCGCAAAGCTACAACCCTTGGTAGCGGTGTCCTAGCTGGGAGCGACATCTTAGAGATGGGGGAGGGTATCGACAAAGAGGGAGACGTGATTCGCTGAGAATAGAGAAAGCAACAGCATAGCATTGTACCGTAGTGGGTTAAAGAGCTAGATCACAGGTAGCTATTCTTGTATCGCACAATCCAATCCAAAACAAGAAACACGGGCCGTCAACTATGCAAGGTACATACCCAAGATATTCAACATGATAAAACATGTATGAAGTACATAGGTATAACATCCATATCCGCCCATATAGTAGATACCTTAGGTAGGTGTATAGTTGGAACAGCATCTGGATCCAGGTGGTTGGACGAAACCGATTGCGAACAATGGATGGTTCCTTCCCTTTCATTCGACGTCATTCCAATATGCTTTATCAGGAACTGGTAAGATGCGTGGCGGGAATTGACTTTGATCTATTTAATGTTCTTCTCTACATAGTGTACATAGTGTATGTGGTGATGGATCAAGTGACTCTACGCCGTGACGAAATAACCTAGCATGTAATATAGGCAGATACGGGAAAGGGAAATTGCTAGCTTATTAATTAAGGTGTGAGCTTTGACCACTCTAAAAAGGTTAATTTCCATTTTCGGTTCGGTCACGTTCCCCTAATGTCAGACCCTGTCACCGGCCACTGGATCCTTGCAGATGGCCCCGCCTTGTCCCGCCCCGCCAATCTGCGTACAGGTAGGTACTTCCACCACCGCCGCCAGCCACCATGGAACCCGCCTAGTGAATTCAATACAGTGGGCACTACCTCTGAGTGTACCTATAGCTCTGCCCAGCCTGCCAGGACCTGCGTAGGTACCCAAAGGGCTACTAAGCTTATCGGTGACTATAATCAGTGGCTCAGCCAGTCATTTGAGGAGTGCCAGAAACATGTATTTGGTCATCAAAGCCAAATCACCTGCACCCGAAAGGTTGCCTTGGAGCGCTCCTGCTGGTACTCCTACTCCTACTCCTCCACCCCCCCACGCAAACCAGCCATTGCCTTCAACCTAAACCACAACACCTTCCATCGTCATCATCACCTGGATTGCTCATCTCCCCGATTTCTCTCCCAGACCGGCCGTCTATTTATTTCGACAGTCTCTCAACGCTTCTGCTTTCCGTCAATAACGTACAAGAGAAGATACTCATCAAGATGCGATCCAAGTTCAAGGACGAGCACCCCTTCGAGAAGCGCAAGGCCGAGGCCGAGCGCATTCGCCAGAAGTACGCCGACCGCATTCCAGTATGTACTCATCTCCTCACCCCATCTACCTATCCACGTCTCCCACTCTTCACCTTCCAATACATCTCGAGACTACAGCTCGACGGTTACGATGTAGCCGTCATGCTTGATACCATTTCCATTTCCACCCGCCGCTCTCCCCACCATCTCACCGCTTTGTTTGCTCTTCTATTCCAGCACTCAGACGTCTAACCAGCTCCGCATGAATAGGTCATCTGCGAAAAGGTCGAGAAATCTGACATCGCTACCATCGACAAGAAGAAGTACCTGGTGCCAGCAGATCTCACCGTAGGCCAGTTCGTCTACGTGATCCGAAAGCGCATCAAGTTGTCTCCCGAGAAGGCCATCTTCATCTTTGTCGATGAGGTACTCCCTCCGACCGCCGCTCTCATGAGCAGTATCTACGAGGAGCACAAGGACGAGGACGGGTACGTCAACCTCCTAGTTATTGTCCTGCTTCGCGAACTAACAACGTATTGCTAGATTTCTTTACATTACTTACTCGGGCGAGAACACGTTCGGCGAAGCTGTCTAGGGTTTTATTCATTTCCGATTTCCCCCCTCCCCCCAACGGCGTTATGGTTTATTCTGGACTGGACGACAACGATGTGATCATTAGTGGCGATGAATTATGGATAGGGCAGGCTTAGTCATGGCAGATGGGTGATATGGATTGCGTCTCCCCGGCTAGTCAAATCACGATCCTGAAGGTGTAGATGACGTTAGTCTTTGATTTTCATATCATCAATATCAATTTGGCTTCTGCCCACCCAGTGCCTTTTAAGCAGGCTCTAGGTTAGCTTGGTTCAACTAGCTCCCGTTTTGATATCGAATATTCGCCGGCGAGCAGAATGCTTTGGTGAGAGAAGTTGATTGCTTTCTCTACTTGCGAGCGGATTCGTACAACGACCCACCGCCTCGAATAAGCGCCAAAGCCTACCTACCGCCCATTATATAGGCTAGTAGTGTAGGTACTGACAGATCCCCATGCTTCCGAATAACCCCCCGGGATCCATCCTAGCCACCTAGAGTCCCTACCTACTTAGGTAGCCAAGCAGCATACTATAGTAGATAGGCTACGCTTGGTAACGGGCAACAAGACACCACCCCATAACCAGATTATTACGCGATCGGAAGTTATAGATCACAACCTATGGTCTCGACTCTGGTGTCAGCCCAGATCTTAGCTTAAATGAGATACCACTATGACAAAGGAAAAAAAAAAAAAAAAAGGAGAGAACAATCTCCTACCCAAGCCCTCCATAGGAACATATGCTAGATGAGCAGTCAGAAGAAGCGAGACATCCCTGCGACAATGTCATGAACATAAGTATTACCATATGTACCTACCTAGCTGGACACTTAGGTCAAAGTCCTAACAATCAGCGGATACGATATCCACCACAGCCGTATCCACATCGAGGAGGCAGGCAAGCAACGACGAAAAGGCCGGTCCCCCTCGTCAAACCGACTTAGAGTAGTATAGCAGCTCGTCCGTCATCTAGCCGCCAGAAAAGCAACGGTGGGATGGCCGAGTGGTTATGGCGCTGCGTTCAGGTAAACCTGAGTATATTAGTCTTGTCTCTTGTAGCCTCTCATGACTCCATAAGGATGAAGCAGAAAATATCGCAGTGGAGCAATCCGCGTGGGTTCGAGTCCCACTCCCATCATCATTCAGCTTCAGCCCGTCCAAGGGTTGTTGTAATGAATATTTTTTGTGAATTTACTTGTTTTTTTTGGGGGGGGGGGGGGGGGGGGGGGAAGGGGTTTTGAATTTAAGTGCCAATGTGGGACTTTTGAAGAAGGCCAAATTTATACTGCCGTGGAAATGGAGTGGGAATTTTTTAAATAAAAAT